CAACAAAATAAACGCAAGACAGCAAAGAATTGGGTAAACAGTTGCTAGTGTAAGCAATTAAGAAGTCACGCGGCCAATAACGTGCAGCAACTAAAGTTAGGGCAAAGTAGTGTAGGTATTTAAACGCTAACGTCGCTCTTATGTAGTCAGTTATTCAACTCTTCCGCTGAGACCGGCTGCCCTTGGGATTGCCAAGGGAAATAAAAAGTTCTAAAAAACAAATTCTCGCCTCTTCACATGCCATAGGCCCTGATTTGTCGCAAAACGGCAGACCCATCACCATGATCTCGAGAACTCTGTCTCAGACAGACGAAATCTATGCGACCAATAAACGAGAGCTCTTGGCGATCGTATGGGCCCTACAAAAATTGCGTAACTATTTGTAAGGTAGCAAATGAGGTGACAAATAACTTTTGTTTTATACATTTTTCCATTAGATCCCTATTCCAGGCGCTATGTAGACAATTTCACGATTTTAGGCGAATTTCCGAAATTTCAAGGCCGGAGTTGGGGTTGAAGATGCAATCCGATCTCAAAACAAAAAGCTGCATTGGAATCAGGAAGTACAAAGGCAACTTTTCCGCACTACTAGAATAGCTGTAATAATAAATGAAAATTTGACAAGATTACCTAGAGGAACCTTTTTGATAACATTCAGAGGCGAAGTTACGATAAACTCCACCGTTTATAGCAATTGGAATGAGGTAATACTTTCGCATACTGAAGCAGTACCCGCGGAGCACGTTAACTTTACAGAACATATCCAGTTGTTATCACTCCCACTTCTACAAAGAGTTAATATAAAAAACCTCAGGCACATAGCGCACCTACAGAATCTTATCCATACAATCGGAAACCGCCTTGCTCCTAATCCTAATTGCCACAGCTATGAGCATAGCAATATTTCTGCGAAAACGACAAAGAAATATGGTCGTACTGAAGAACATCATAAAGGAAACAGGGGACGCTTTCACTTCAAGAGGGGGAGTAGTTAGCACAGGTAACCAAACATCAGGCAATAACATCACTTGCTCCGAATTTGCTGACGGCGCCTCTGCAGCTTTACACGTTAATAAGAACAACACCGCATTATGTATGCATCCGGCCATTATGCTGATCGAACACTTTTAGCCTTGCGCGTGACAACAACAAAATAAACGCAAGACAGCAAAGAATTGGTAAAGAGTTGCTTATGTAAGCAACTATGAAGTCACGCGGCCAATAACGTGCAGCAACTGAAGTTAGGGCAAAGTAGTGTAGGTATTTAGACGCTAACGTCGCTCTTATGTAGCCAATTATTTCAACTCTTCCGCTGAGACCGACTGCCCTTGGGATTACCAAGGGAATTTATACATGCATTTATATGCAACACACATACATATCCCTGCCAACCACGGCTACCCTCTTGTGTCAAATATTTCAATACAACTACACATTTTTTCTCTATGCACCGACACCAACGTACATTATCGGGTTATTTTTTGTTTACCTAAATGCGATGGAAAAGTTTCTTTCACTTCTTGATTTATTTGAATGAGTRCGAAGGAGAAAACATAATTGTCAATAGTGCCAAAAGAAAATCCCAAAAACGGTAATAAAAAAACGATTGAAAGACGCATGTCGGTCGTGATCGTACCATCGTAAAGGAGGATCATACAACAAGAAGGTAAGTAAGTGAATTTTATGTGATTTTTTTTTTTAAATAATTTGCAAATAATTACTTCATTTGTTTTTATAGCATTGGAAATCCGAATGAACTGGATATAGCAGCTGCAGCAATATCATCAGAAGCAGCAAATATCAATTGTTTAGTAAGTATGTGAAAAAAGTRTGTACATTGAAATTGGACTGCGCAGGCTAACATAATACGCAAAAATAAATAATATGTACATATGTATGTATTTTATGCGTTTAAGGCGGCCTGCACAATCCAATATGATATGTCAAAACAAATGTTTGTTTTATATTTTAAATGATCAAATAATATTCATCTTTTCTTTCAGATGTTATTATTATTTTTAATTAATTAATCTTTGCTTTTAGAGTAAATTCTATTTGTTATTATTTGAATTATTTCCTTTCTTTCATATATTATTATCATTTTATAAAATTAATCTTTCTTTTTCTTTTAGATATTACAAATTCAATATAATTATTAATTATTTTCAGATTTTAATAACCTTTATTATATTTTCAGGTGAAATTATATTTTTTTAAATTAAATATATTGTTATAATTAATTATAATAAAATATATAATATATAAATATGTATTAAAAATAATAAAATTAATAATTTAACAATTAAAAAGCTTAGTTTGAAATTTTAAGAAATTTTTAAATTAGGATATAACCCTGCATCAGCCGTCGTTTGGCGATATTAGAGCAGGACAAATATACTTTTTTATATGACACTGCTGAATGAGCGCAACAAAGATGTATGATCCCATGTATACGTGCGTGAGTGGGTAGAATCTTCACACTGCCTATGGCAAATTATATATGTTTACCCACTGATTATCTGGTTTTTTACCCGCTCATGGTTAGCAGGGATGTGAAACACGTATGCATTTATATGCAATACGTATGCACTCAAGAAACATAACATAAGCATATGTACTTAAGTTTGGGCACTTGATTACAAATGCACTTGTGCACTTGAAAACAGCCCAAACCATGCGACATAAATTATATGACAACACACACACACACACATGTATTGTACTGTATAGTTGAAAACAACCCCATGGGGTGTGCCGTTCATAAACCTATAATTAATTAGATAAGTTAGACTTCCAAAATAGTATATAAGGCTTACAAATTTAAAAACAAAATCAGAGTGAAAAATTTCTCACTCGACGAAAGATTGTTTTAAATTCCCCCTCCAGCGGTAAGGTTAACAAAATCTTTGTTGACTTTTAAATATTGGTTGTTAAAAAAGTCTTGCGGTATTTTCGCTAGTTGAGAGCGCGTAGTTCTAGTTTTATTCGTCGCATCGGGTCATGCTATACCTTTTTGGAAAGCTCATTTCACGCGCYAACACGTGTTTGATTGATTGTCGTTTCTTTTAAATCGTTCGTGAGTTATAGCATCGCAAACATGGAGCAAAATAAAGAGAAAATACGGCATATTTTACAGTACTTCTACGATAAAGGCAAAAATGCATCTCAAGCCGCCAATAAAATTTGTACAGTATATGGACCCGATACAGTTTCCATTTCCACCGCACAACGATGCTTTCAACGTTTTCGTTCTGGTGTAGAGGTGGTCGAAGATGCGCTACGCTCCGGAAGGCCTGTCGTCGAAAATTGCGATAAAATCGCTGAATTGGTCGAAAGAGACCGGCATAGTAGCAGGCGTAGCATCGGCCAAGAGCTGGGCATGAGTCCTCAAAAAAATTTTTATGGACAATTGAAAATTCAATAAAAATACCGCAAGACTTTTTCGTTCGGCTGTCTGTTGTGATTGCAGCTTCTCGACGTCGAACCTTCCTTGTGTTTGTTGGCGTGCGTTTTTTACTGCACAGAGGCGGGTGCGAATCTTGGCTGCAACAAGATATTGGTCCGATTCGATGTTACACATCTAACACACAGGAGACGTGTTTTCCGTCTATCACAACATGATCGATCTGGTTGGTGTTGGTTTTCGATCCGGAGACAGCCAGGTAGCTTGATGAATTTTCTTATGCTGCAATCTAGTACTACAGATAACCATATTTCGGCCCCCGGCGAAGTCGATCAGCCTCAAGCCGTTTAGGGATGTTTCGTCGTGGAGGCTGAATTTACCAACCGTAGTGCCAATATACCTTCCTTGCCCACCCTGGCTTTGAAGTCGCCAAGCACGATTTTGACATGCAAGCTCTCATTGAAAGCATCTTTGGTCACATAATCCTTCTCTTCCGTCGGGACGTGGATGCAAATCAGCGATATGTTTAGGAATTTCGCATTGATGCGGATTGTGGCTAGACGTTCATCTACTGGGGTGAATGACAGAACACGGTGACGGAGTCTCCTCCAACCACGAATAATTCATAATTTTTATTTCATTTGCTGTGGTCCTCATCAAAAGCGAGGGACCTCTTCCGAAACTGTTTCTTACTTTTCATTATGGGCTTTTTAACGTGGCGGGTCCCAAACCCTGGGAAAGGTCACTTTAGCTCGTCTTCAAACGGATGTTCTATGCTACTCAGAGGATACTTAGTCAAAGACCGGAAGTTGTAAGCTACTTGAGCCATATATAAAATAATCGATATTTGACTAAAGAAACTTAAATAATTAAATGAGGGATTTTAAATAGTTTTAAGTTAATTAACTTATAATTCAGCTTAAAAAAATATTGTATATTATAGAAAAATGTAAGTAATATAAAATGTAAATTGTGTCTTCCCGTCTTTTAATTCGACAAAAGGTGACGGCTAAAATACACTTAAAGCGTTAATCAAATCTCCAAACGTACTAAAACGAGTCTTCTAAACTCAAAACACATCTGCAAGGATAGCTATGAATGAGATAAGCTCATACTATTAGTAAGACTCCTGTTATAATAATAGTTAATAATAAAGTCATTAGTCGTAGTAATGAACCCGAAAAACAGATGTCGACAGTATTACCTTTGTGATTCCACCGTCAGAGACCAGCTAGCCTTAGAATCGAGACAAAAAGCTGAAAATAACATGACGTTAGGGGACTACCTCGACGGTTAAAATATTATCTTCCATAACTCCAAGTGTTAAATCTAGTAGCGTCTAAGCAGATGAGATATTTGAGTTTTCTACTTACTATATACTCCACGAGATTTTTTATGTAAAATGAAAACAACTGATACAAAGAGTTTCCTTAAATATTAATATCGATATAATGTTGTTTAAGCTGTACACTGAATTGATATTACCATAATATATTATATTATACACACAAAATACATTACGGCAATATATTCAATATTTTTAAAAATTTATTGAAAATTTAATCTCATTAACTCTTATACATGAAAAAATACCAAGTAAGATAAAAATGCTGTTCAGCTTTATTTGCAAACGCCGTTTTTAACATATTATAGTGTTTTGGTTACATTCTACACAATTCTTAAGATATAGCATTGTGAGTGATGCTATGTTGGGCGAAAAGAAATATTGTATACGATATTAATAGCTCACAGTTTTTGTGAGGATTATTGGAACGTTGCATAATAGATAATCAAAATGATGCCCCATGTAACAAGTCACAAAAAACTATAGCAAGCTTGTTGCCCAGAGACTTTTCTTGTTTTTATACAAGAACAAATTGCAAATCGTACTATATATAATACATATTTTTTAATTTCAACTTAAAAAATAGCTTAACGGTTTAGCTTTTCCATTTTTACTAATAACAGCCCTTCGTCCTGCAAGAAAAAGATTTTTAAATACAACATTATTAAAAAAGTCTTTGTATACATGCCTTCGTTATCAGAAGAGTTCGCAATCCCCATTACATCCAATGATTTTATGAGTGTACCAAGATTTGACCGATCGTCCAGATATTTGTTGCTAATACGTAGAGTAGTTCGCGCACGATTCTTCGTTTGTGTATGCCAAACTAATATTTCTGTACAGTTATTTGCTTTAGGTTCAATTATATTTAAATTTAACCGGATACTACGTAGAAAAAGGTCCTCTTCATAGCCCGGTTTATAAGGCATGCTAGCGTTTGGATACTCAGCCATATATGCCAAATTCGTTGCAAATCCGGCCATATCCACTGGCCAACGCCTTTCTGCTACCCATGAATCTAGAAATCCAACCACTTTCCCCTATCGAATATAGTTATTAATAATTAAAAACATTAAGAACAAATCTATTCTAGCTCACCTTTCGTACAACTGGTCCACTTACGGAGTACTCTTCAATTAGTCCCACAGGAAACATCGAAACCCGTTGGGTATATCTTATTTCAGAGAATAGCTTTAAATCATATGTATTGTCATCATCACCAAAGTAGAGAATTCCGTTTGAGATATTTCGCTGTCGTAACCATTGTATTGCTGCCCGGCGGTTGGCTACACCACGAGGCATTGGCTTTTTCTTGCGGTAAAATTCCGGCATTGGACTTGCCAAGTGCGTAAAAGGTAAACCTAATATAAAAGACTATTTAATAATTTACTACAGTTTGTTAAATATAGTATTAGATATAAATAGTTTACAATTTTAAAAACCATTAGATACAATACACATATGCCAATAATTAGCTTATATATAAAATAGTGCAAGTTATGTTAGTCATTCGACTAAAAGAAAAATGTGTTTAGTTTTGTCATAGTAGAATACATCCAGCCTTATTGCAAACTTCGTGTAAATAAATCAATCTCATGTATCTTTATTTTGAAGCGAACGAAAAATTCGTATAGCGAATTTCGTTTTCAAATCTCGATTTTGCTGTTGTGAACTTCGGCGATCTAAATTTATAAAGCCAATTGCGAATTTTTTAGCTTAAAAATATATTTTTATATCCTTGCAACATTAGCCCTGACAGACGACAGCGCTAAGTAGCATAGTAGCGGGTTTAATTTTAATTAACTTGCGTATTTGACCCATTTTAATGCAAGTTTGTAATGAATTGAATTTACCAAACTTGAGTAAGCAACACTGCTCAAAAATGGCCGATTTTTGCTATTTTTTGCAGATGTCGCTTGAAGTCTGCCGCCTCCTTTGCGTTTACAGCATCAGAGCTAAGCAGCTTTATATTGCTAATTAAATTATGTGCAAGTATGTTAACAAAAACAAATTTTAACATTTTTAGATGGCAGTTTATTATTCAATATTCTTAACTTTTTCGCACACTTTGTCCTCATTACCATCAATTATTGCATTTATTTCAATCTATTATCTTTTAACGTAATTAATAATAAATGAATTTTTCGTTAAATTTATATTGATTTTCCAAAATTTCTATTAATAATTGTTAGGAGAGTAAAACGCGTGTTGACTTGGCGACAGTATATAATTGAAGAAGAAAGTTTATTAAATAATCTTAGCTCCTATTCATAATGACATCTGTAATTCTAATAATATACAGGGTGTTTCGTAAGATTAAAAATTTACAATTTTCTTCTCAACACCTTTCCTAAATTGATTGAAATAAAATTGAAAAAGTAATATAATTCAGTTATGAGTAAGAGGAAATATATTACTAATAATAAGATGAGAATAAATTACTTTAAGCCAAATTCATTTAACTGTTGCTTTGTTTTTGCTAACGTTGTTTTATCGGTGGTAATACGGTATAACTTAATTTGGTCATCTTTCTACCTTTTCTTTGATGAATTTTGATTTGATGTCTACATGCTTCGTTCTACTTGAGTATGAGTTATTTTCAGCTATGTGTATAGCGCTGTTGTTATCGCAGAATAAGATCATAGATTTCGAAGCTTTGGGCACTAACTCTGTATCAAATCACTTAAGCCAGATTGATTCTTGTGCAGCAGCCACCATAGACATTAACTCGACTTCAGTAGATGATAAGGGTACAGTATGTYGCCTTTTGGTAGCAAACGAAATGGAAGCATTCCGAAAAGAAAAAACATAGCCAGTTGTTGAGCGGCGATCACTTACATCATTTGCCCAGTCAGCGTCGCAAAAACCAACGATTTTATCAGGACTACTCCTATACACTAAGCCCTTGTCAATAGTTTCCTTGAGATAGCGCATGACTCGCTTTACTGCAGTCCAATGCGCCTTCCCTGGGTTCGTGCTGTATCGGCTTAACAAGTTGACAGCAAAGCATATATCAGGGCGCGTGACCTGAGCGGTAAACAGCAGACATCCAGTAGCTTACTTTATAGGGAACAGTAGCCATTTCCCTTTTTTTGTCATCATTAGTCGAGGGGTGTATTTACAGGATTGCATTCATCCATTCCAAAACGTCGAATTATATCGGGAATGTAGGAAGATTGATCGATCTTTAGAGTTCCTTCTTTGAGATTTTGTGCTATACGCATACCCAAAACCGATGACGCTGTACCTAGATCTTTCATTTTGAAAGTTTTCAGAGAGTATTTTTTAGTTTGTTTAGCAGCTTTGTATCATTGGCGAATAGGATGACATCATCCACGTAAACAGCGACGAATAGCATTTTTTTGTCAGCGACAAGGTAATATACGCATTGGTCGACTTTGCTGCGCTACAAGCCGAAACTAACTAGCGTTGAATTGAGCTTTATGTGCCAGACACGACTAGATTGCTTCAGCCATATAACGATTTTCGCAGCTTGCAGACGCGACCGGATCCATCATCAAAGCCACTCGGCTGAGTCATATAGATCTCTTCTTTAAGCTCGCCATGTAAAAAAGCACTCACAGCATCTATTTGGTAAACAGTAAGATTATATTTCACCGCAAGAGCAAGCAAAAAACGAATTGATGTATATCGCACAACTGGTGCGAATATCTCGTCATAGTCGATGTGCTGTTTCTGGTTGAATGTCGGTTGAAGGGCTGATAGTTCCCAAGTGCCATTGATATCATGAGATTCAATTTCTTCACACATTGCATATTGCCAAAGTTTATGGGGTTGGCTTGCCATCGCTTCGTCCACAGTGTTTGGATCTGATGATACATGTTCAGTTACGCAGAGATTATAATTTGCTCGTAACATATTCCGCAATCCCTCAGAGCGACGGACTCCTTCATGGTCCAAATCTGTTATTTTTTTGCGCTCCATTGTTGATTCATGATTCCCTTCTGTATGCGAATGACTGTTACTCCACTACCATCTTCTGTTGGTAATTCTTTCACATATTCCCCCTCTGAATCGGCAACGGAAGTTGGCTCTGGTAACCATAAATTAACCGTATCTGTCTTTGCATCTATAGCTGAAGGATTTTGATTAATTTGATTTTCAATAAAAAACTACATCACAGCTAACAATAATATTTTTCGCTACAGAATCATACAATCTGTATGCTTTTGATTCATACTGTAGCCTACGAGAATACATTCTCGAGATTTAGATTTCAACTTACTGCGTTTTTTTTTGGCTACGTGAACCATTGCCTTACAACCAAATACTTTGAGGTGTTTCAAGTTTGCTCTTTTTGCTGACCACAACTCTTCCGGACTCAGATTGTTACCTCTGCATGGTGTACGTAACAGCAGCCTCAGCCCAGGATCTGTTCGCCAAATTTGCATCTAGCAGCATGCATCTGAATTTTTTCGTTATTGTCCGATTTAGCCTCTCTGCAACGCCATTTTTTTCGGTTGTGTAGGGTGTCGTTTTCTGATGAATAATGCCATATTTCGAAAGATATTTGTTGAACACTTCATTTACTATATATATTCGCGACCATTGTCCGTTCGGAGAACTTTTATATATTTCGAAGATTGATTCTCCACCATTGCTTTGAATTTTACAAATTCATCGAAGACAGCTGCTTTCGATTTAATTGGGATAACAAACACTTTTCTGGAATACGTTAACAAATAGCTCGCACCAGAAAATGAGTTAACATTTAATGGAYCCATTACATCACTATGTATTATTTCCAAAGGTTGTTCAGCACGCTGCCCTTTTTCAYTGTGTGACGCTCTGGTCTGCTTACCTTTTATGCAAACCACACATTTGTTACCACTGGKTGTARTTTTAACACCTTCCGAAGCATTTTCGATGGCTGCGTCACTTTCGCGACAGACATGACCTAAGCGCCTATGCCATAAGTTATATTATCTTGTTGCACACAGTTCAGACGATAAATACCATTTATTTTGCTCGCAGTTCCAATTAGTAGTTTGTCCTCGTTTAATATTTTGCACCAATTGTCTTTAAAATGTAGTTTTTTCCCATTGCCTGTCATTTCACTCACCGAAAGAAAATTCGCACATTAACTAGGAACGTACTCAGCATTTTTGATAGTTGCGTTAACATTCTTATGTTTAATAGCTAGAGAGAGTTGAACATCGCCAGTGCATTCAACATCAATTTTGTTGTTGTCAGCGACAATTACTCTCTTGTTTATCGCGAGTTTTCTATTTGTCATGCATTCGTTGCTTTTTACCATATGTTGAGAACAGCTGGAATCGACATAATAGTCTTCGTTGTTGTGCATATTAGCATAAAGCGATAAGCTAAAAGAACCTGATTTTTTTTGTTTTTGCTTGTTGTTCACTATTTCTTACGACAGTTTTTGCTTATGTGCCCTAGTTGCTTGCGCGAATGACAGCGAACTTTTGAAAATGTTTTTGCCTTTCTATAAAGAGCATTTTCGGCACCTTACTTTGCATCACATTTCGCATCTTGTAAAGGTAGATTTTTCACAGCATCTTCGTTGAGAGTTTTCTTGGAGTTTTCGACAGCGAACACTAGCGCTTGAAAGTCATTGGGCAACCCAGCTAACATGAGTGATGCGGTTAGTTCGTCGTCAATTTTTAGACCTTGGTTTCTCACTTTAAATGCAATCATTATCATTGAGTTTACATAATCTTGCATAGTCTCGCAGTCTGACAGCTTGAGTTGTACCAATTGCTTCAACAGCTCCACCTTGCGCGTCAAACCTTTATCTTCATAGGCTTCCATCAGTGCTTTACAGGCGTCTTTAGCTGATGTTTTATCTACAAAGTGATCGAAATTATTTGGCTCCACCAACATCGTAATTTCAGCTAGTGCTTTTTCATTAGCATCACGACCAGCTTCAGTTGCAGTGCCAGGCAAACCATTCTGCACCATTTTCCAGTGGCCCTTTATGACCAAATATGATTTGGTCTGGCATTTCCAGACATCAAAATTTTCACGACGGCGAAGTCGTTCGACGGGTACCGAAAAAACGTTCGACATTATTTAAATTGTAAAATATATTCCAAATCAAAGGTCAATATATTTAATTAACGCACAGAACATTTTTTTACCCGGATTTATTTATTGATGGGTTAAATTGACTAGGCGACGGTATAAAACGGAAGAAGGAAGTTTATTAAATAATGAACTTAGCTCCTATTCATAATGACATCTGTAATTCTAATAATATACAGGATGTTTCGTAAGATTATAAATGTACAACTCTCTTCTCAACAATAATTATAAATATAANTAATAAATAAACTAATTTCACTATCAGCTGTCTAAATGCACAAGTCTGCCGTCTGCCACCATAAAATTTCAATTTGTATTAGCGTTGCTTAAGGCGCATTAATTTTGCTCGTCTGTCAGGGCTATATAATAGTTTTGTTCGTGGTTGTTTGTATCGCCTAAAAACGTATGAACGTGATCAGACCACTGCCACGTCCACAAAATATCATTAATCAAAATCTGATAAATTGCCATAACTAAGCCGGAAATTAAGACATATGTATAATAACAARATTGGAAATTCTTACGAAGTAGGCGTGGTTTCAGCCCGTAATAGATTTAATGTAGATATCTTCTAAACCATTCTAGCTATAATGGCCATATTCGCACAACGCAAATCTTTTTAGCATCCCTATCCACACTGTGAAAATGGGTGAATTTGGATTGTATCCTTGTCCATTCCACATACATATAAAGGTTTTGTTGAGTTAAGTATCCACCCCCTCTATTCGGTAAAACTGGCGCATGCTAATGCTACATCGCAATTCACCACAGCTGATGACACTACAGCACAACTCAACACATCTGTATGCCAACCCACTCAATAAAAAGGATGGGCAACGGAAAAGCGGACAATTCGACATTGTCGCGTCAATACCTACGCTATTCAACCGCGATTTCTACATTTTTGATACCGAAGCGCGAAACTTCGATCACCAGCACCGTCAAATCATCTTCGGCATAAAACTTATAATATCAAATTATAATTTTGTTAAAATAAAAACAAACTTTAATTTTAATTTTGTATCCTTAATCAAGTATATATAGTGCAATAAATCTATAACTATTTCACCGATTACAAAAGTGAAGTATTAGCTCCACAGTTTTATCCTTTTCTTTTTTTACTGGCATAGAAACCGTTTAGGCGGTTATAACCCAAGACATGACCTAACCAGCGTAGCAACTGTCTTTTAATCCGCTGAACGATGTCAATTTCGTCATATATCTCATAGAGCTTATCGCGCCATCGAATGCGATATTCGCCATGGCCATCATCAGATATTATCATCGTCCATGATTCTGCACCATATGAATGACTTATATAATTTGGTATTTATTCGTCGAGAGAAAACTTTACTTCTCACTTCCCTACTCAGTCTCAAGTTATACCTGTTGGTGAGAGTTATTCTAAGTTGGCTTCCGAGCCTGACGTTATTGTTGGTATTAATAATGGTTCCAAGATAGAAAAATTATCTTCGATTTATGAGTGTCAACAGTAACAGGGTGCCTCATCGCTAGTGCGACGAATGTTTGTGTGATGACAGGAGATATTTCGTATTGCTTTCGTTCACCACCAGACCCATTTGCTTCGCTGCCTTATCCATTTTGGAATAAGCAGAATTAACGGAGCGGGTGTTGAGGACAATGCTATCAATCATCAGCATACGCTAGCAGCTGTACACTATTACAGAAGATTGTGCTTTCTCGGTTTAGTTCTGCATCTCGACTTATTTTCTCCAGAAGCAGATTGAAGAAGTCGCACGATAGGGAGTCCTCTTGTCTGAAACCTCGTTTGGTATCGAATGGCTCGAAGAGGTCCTTCCCGATTCTGACGGAGCTTTTAGTGTTGCTCTCAGTTTACACAGCCGTATAAGTTTTGCGGGGATACCCAATTCATACATCGCGGCATAAAGGCAGCTTCTTTTCGTGCTGTCGAAAGCAGCTCTGAAATCGACGAAGAGGTGGTGAGTGTCGATTCTCCTTTCACGGGTCTTTTMCAGGATTTGGCGCATAGCGAATATCTGGTCGGTTGTTGATTTTCCAGGTCTGAAGTCACACTGATAAGGTCCAATCAGTTTGTTGACGGTGGGCTTTAATCTTTCACACAATACTCTCGATAGAACCTTATATGCGATGTTGAGGAGGCTTATCCCTCTCGGGTTGGCGCAGATTATGGGATCTTCTTTTTTGTGAATTG